ATGAGTTTGGCTCAAAGTTTTCAAAGGTTCTGTAAGTGAAGCCATCTGTCTGAGAAGTTGGGAGAAGAGAAGAGGAGGTGTACCTAAAGCAAGGGACATAAAGATTACTAATTTATGGTGAACGAAAGTTACCAGGAACACAGGGAGCAACTGGGATGTTGGCAAGACTAGAGAACCTCTAAGGCTGTTGGGAGTAGCTTTGAGTAGAAGAATTTCAGCAATGATTTGGTCTGTGGGTGACTCCCTAAAGTCAGCACTGCTGAAACAGGCTGTGGGAAGAGAAATATCTATTTTAAAAACAGAGAGAAGCAATGTCTGTTGCCAAATGACCATTTTATGTTGTATCTAGGGGATTGTAACAGCTCTAGTTTCATTCCTTTGATGTTGATGATTTTAGTACAAGATTAATCAGTATTGGTGGGAAGATCCAAGGAATGGCAGCTAGTAATTTTTCTCTTCCGTCAGTGCTTGATGGGATTTGTATAGTCTTTACACTGTTGACGATTTTCAGAAATGGTGGTATATTGGTCATTTTCAAAAGAAGAAGCACCTTTAGGTCCAACCATATAAATGTGTAAGTTGATATAAATTGGGGAATCTTGGAGAATGTGGCGTATGCTCTTACAACAATTATGAATTGTTCATTACACCCTCCCCTTGTTTTCTGGGTTAAGGAGAATCCTTGGTGATGCAGTGTAGATTTTACCAAGACAAAGATTTAAATCTTAATAATAATACTAACATTTTTTCTTTTGGCTTTGCTTGGTAATGGGTACAGACTACACAAAATGACAGTCCAGAGAATCTTAATGATTATGAAGAGCAGAGGGTAGGGGAAAGATGATGGGGGACATTCTGGGAGAGAAAGATACAAAGGAATGCTTGGATCAGGATTCACTTGGCTTCTTGACAAGTTCTCTTGGAAAGAGCAGGGTTAAATAAAACAGGAAAGCTTCTGAAAGAACCAGGAAGGACTTTCTCCAGCCCAAAAGTCAGTAGATCCCCCACTTGAAACAGAGCTGGAAAGACTTCAGGCCTGTAAGGTACGCTTTTCCTGTAACCCAGCCTCAGACAGCATGCGGATGGTATCCATCTCATCAGGGTCTGTGATTTGACTTTACAGCGATATGAAAGCAACAAGCATGCAGTAGAAGATGCACTTTGAACTCTGATCTTTTTCTGGCCTAGCAACATGTGGGCTGAGGTTCTCGGATGATGCTGGGTGGCGCCTCTGAGCAGTCAGCCCTGTCATCACTGATGGGCTGCAGTATCCTGTGGTGTAAGGACGAATATTCAATAAATAGGTGAACTAAATACAGTTTAAACTTAGGATAATTTTGTTTTGTTTTTATGAAGTGAGCATATTTCATCTTTCATGATACAGATTTAGGAGCATGGTGTTACTTTTCACCCTACCCTTTTTCCTGCCCACATTTCCCATCCACCCTCCTCCTTCCTTATTACTTCCGATGTCATATTTCCCTTTCACTTCACAATCACAGGCTTAAAACTGTTAGGTAAAGATATCAGCACATAGCAAGCAGGAAAAAAACCCTATTCCTCGGGAATATAGACAAAAGCTTTAAAAACAAGGTCCTCTGATGTCAATCTCATTCATGTAAATTATCTCTTTTTATAATCTGTGCATTAGTTGCCATAGATCAGGGAAAAACTTATCTTTCTTGGGACTGGCTTATTTCACTAAGCATAATGATTTCCAATTGGATCCATTTAATTGCAAGAGAGAAGGTTTAATTCTTTTTTATGAGTAGTATAAGTAATATTCCATAGTAGTCCATAGTATGCAATCTGAGTTGATTCCATATCTTAGCTTTTGGAAACTGAGTGGGCTTTATTGTACCATAACTCCACTGAATTTGAGGAACGTGTACTTGGAATCTTAACTCTGTCCTCCTGGTACTTCAACAGAAGCTCTACCAGGTATTGTTGTGTGTAGCTGGTCTCACTAGATGCCCATGGGAGCAAGCAGACTGGCCAGAAGAGTCTGTGAAGAGAGGTTGGTTGTCTGAGGGTCCTTTGGTTGATCCGATCCAAATCCAAGTCAAAGTACTTAACACTGAAAGAAAAATCAGAAGTGGATGATAGCTAAAACAGTGAAAACAGATATTATTCAGGAAATAATACAGTGGAATAAGAGTAAATCTGAACTAGACTCAATTCACATGAACAAGTGGAAAATTATAGCTAAGGAGCAGGATGGGAGTTAGTGGGTATAGAATGACTGCAAAGCTGCTGCAAGGGTAGGACATGCAGTAAGAAAGTTGAGAAATTGAAGTCAGATGCTTTGTAAGTGTCTCAGCTGAGCATTGTCTCCTTGCTGTCTGCCTGCAGAGAAGGATCTGCAATGACCCTGCTGTGTTTTGCTCTTTGTATAAGCCTAGAGAATTTGGGCAAAGGGCAGCTTGCCATTTAAGGGTATATTGGGGTCACCTAGAGTAGGGAAGGGGGCTTAGCTTTTTTCCAGAATGCCCTCAGGCTTCCCTTGGCATTCCCTGTAAGTTTCAATTCAATAATATCAATATCAATAATTCTAAAGTGAAGTAATATGTCTTAAAGATTGATTTATTTGCTTGAAAGGCAGAGAGGGAGGGGAAAGGGAGAGAGAGCGAATGAGGGAGGGAAGGAAAAAGGGAAGAAGGGAGGGAGGGGAGAGAAAGAGAGAGACTGACCCTCCATTCACTGGTTCACTGCTGAAATGACCACAATGGTTATTCTTGCAGCCAGGAGCCAGGAACTTCTTCCAGATCTCCTATGTGTATGCAAGGGCCTAAACGCTTGAGTATCTTGTGCTTCTTTTCCAGAGAGTCTTAGCAGGAAGCTACATTGGAGGTAGAGCAGCAGGGACTCAAAACAGATGCTCACATGGAATACTGGCACTATACATGGTGGCTTTACCCACTGTGTCACAGTGCCATCCTTGAAAGTAATGTTTCATTTTCTTTCCTGTGTACATTATAGTTCTTAGTATTTCACATGTAAATTTACCTAATAATTTTTCTGTAAGCTTTTTAGAGTATTCATTGATAAGTTAACTTTAAAGAGTCACGGAAATAGAAAGTATGTCTTTTAGGTAGTTCGTTCTAGTTGTCAGATTTAGGCGAAGATTTTGTTCTTGGACTCTATGCTTGATATAGGTATGCAAAGAAACAATCTTGACTTAATTTGAACTGTAATACTGCAGCAAAGTGGAAGAATCCACCATGGGGGAAGGCGTGGGGAGAGGTTGGGGGAATCCCAGAGCCTATCAAACTGTGTCACATAATAATCCAACGTAATTAATAATTTTAAAAAATATGATTTGTTACTTGGGCTCTCTGGCTTCTCACTACTTATCAGATACTGCTCAAAGTGCCACGTAGGAACACGTGATATGCTCTATAGACTGTTCATGGCTTTTGATGCTTTTGTTTTTGAGAGCTTTGAGAGATCTCTGAGAGTAGGGAGTAATCCAAGTCGTACTCTCGTATAAACCTAGCAGTTTTGTCTTAAACAGCATGTATTTTTCAGAGTGAAAGATAAAAATGAACTGATCTGTATCTGTGGTTTACCACAGTCTAATATTCTTTTTAGACTTTTGCTTTTAGAATTATGACTTTTCCCCCAAAACGGATATGGGATGCTTACTTTACCTCCCTCCTCTTTTCCAGAAAATTTTTGTTTTTCTCTGAGATTCCACCAGGATTGAGTATTTATTTCCTCTTGTCAAACATTTTGTCAAAACTTCAGTTGAGTAATGGAATTATTGGTTATTTTCCCAAATGGGTGTCACCGAATAGTGTAATTAGAAAACCAACAGTTAGATGCTATAAAATGTTTAATGAAAAAAAAAAAAAAAGAATGGGATGGTATCCTTTCAAATGCTATACTAGGCCAAAGAGTTACTCTGAATTCAGTGAGTTCATTTTTTAAAATTCTAATTCTCTGGTCCTGAGTTTTGTGGGAAAAGCCAATAGAATGATGTTACCTCAAGGAGCTTCATGATTCAGGGCGAGTTAATCCCTTATCTGGCTAGAAAATAGAACGATAATGTGTCATAAGAGAAGTACAGCGTAGTACCATAAAAATCAAATGCGTAGTGAAAGTAAAGCTTCCAGAGAGAGATAGGTAAATGCAATTAAAGTTAAGAAGAAATTACTTTTTGACTTAGGGCTCCAAGATCAAGTGTCATTGAAAATAGGATATGAAAGAAAGAAATTACATCCTAAAATGGTTTCATTGGAAACTGTGATTTTAAAATATCTTATTATTGAGAAAGTAGGGTACTTTGGAAATAACAGGCTTAGGAATCAGACTCAGCAGTACTTGATTTTCAACTGTGCCGTTTATTTAATAGCTATATCATGTACCATTGCTTCATTTTTTGAACTTCAGTATTTTCGTCTGAGACATCATAGGGACATCTGACAATTTAAACGATTAAGTGGAACTACATTTTTTAAAGTACCGCACAAAGTGCTTGCCATATTTCAATGAATGTTAGTTTTCTCTCTCTCTCCTATTGCCCATTTTAAAGTCCTTCTGTCCCCTAGCTTGTTTTATAGCCATTGAGACAGGGATTCTAATTTGGAAGCTGTTGTAATAGTATACTTTTCCATCAAGCTTTTGCTGAATACTTCTTTGTGTGGTAGAAATGCGGAGTGAATGAGATATAAGAATTTAAAGAAAATGAGAGGAAAGAGAATAGGAACAACTTTAAACTAATTTACCTTCTGTATAATCTCTGAAATCAAGTAAAAACCTTGTTCTTCTTAGGAAAAGGTTACCCACATTTTACAGCATGCGAGTAACATTAGCTGTCTTCTGAGTTTGTACCTTTTTAAAATGAACTATCATGAAGACCCCAAATGATGTATATGACACGAATGCTTGACTGTCCGTAAACTTGGACTTTGATCAAAACGATGTCACTTTTCATTCTGATTCTAGCTGCCATTGCTGATGTCCCTAATACAGTGTTGTTTGTCTTATTTTTCTCCCAGTTTGATAAAGGTTATTCTTACAACATCCGCCATAGCTTTGGAAAGGAAGGCAAGAGGACAGATTATACGCCTTTCAGTTGTATGAAGATTATCCTAACCAATCCACCAGGCCAGGGGGATTATCATGGTAAGTGCTTCCACTGGATGTATCACTGAGCAACAGAAACAGCAGAGCTCCCTGGGAAACACTTTAAAACAGTCTAATGGCTTTTGCATTTGCTGGCAGGACCTAGTTTGTAGGTTCTGTCAGTCCTCAGCGTCAAGTGAGAGCTCCATTACTCTTACAGTGATTTGTCTTATTACTAAACTAGGTCAGTTCAGAGAAACTCCATTCAGCTGTCCTTCACTTTGTGCTGGGCTGGGCTCTTTGTCCTCACTGTCCCCGTGCCCCTGCTGTTTTTCGTCTTTCTTGTGCTCTACAAGTATCTTAGAAAACTGGTAATGTTTGTGAAAACCTTTTTAACTTTGAAGAGTCAATTTTGCAATAGTAGATTCAATAATTTTCAAAGATGGATGAAGAGTGTGTTTTATTATTATTACAATAATCTGATTAACTAATCAAAGTTAAGGGAACAATCTAACAAGCTGTGATGCTAAACATCACATTAATTAGTTTGCTTGATCTGTTCATTAAGAAAACCATCTATGTCAAAGTGCTTTCTTGTGGACCTCTGCATTTGGCAGCTTTTTTCTGAAACAATTCTCTAAGCAACCCTTGAAAAGTTCCACATTTGCCAGATTTGTCATGAATGACACAATAGTCCATATTAGTAAATATTTCAGGTTACCAAAGCTTACTACAATATGTGTCAAAACTTTCTGTTTCAGAATCTTTTTTTTAAAGATTTATTTATTTTTATTGGAAAGTCAGATTTTTTTTTTTTTTTTTACAGAGAGAAGAAATGACAGAGAAACATCTTCTGTCCACGGGTTCACTACCCAGGTGGCGGGAGTTGTACCAGTCCAACGCCAGGAGCCAAGAGCTTCTTCCAGGTCTCCCACACCGGTGCAGGGTTCCAAGGCTTTGGGTCATCCTCTACTTCTTTCCCAGACCACAAGCAGGGAGCTGGATGGGAAGAGGAGTAGCCGGGATACAAACTGGTGCCCATATGGGATTCTGGCATGTGCAAGGCAAGGACATTAGACACTAGGCTATTGTGCTAAGTCTAAGGAACCTCCTTTTTAAAAAAATACTTTATATTTTAAAAATTCTCATGTTAATGTCATATTAAAACAAGGAGGACTGATTCAGTGTATGTAATTTATAGTTATACATCTAAGAATATAATAGTGTGTTCCTCTCTCTCTTCCTACTTAGCTTCTTCCTCCTTTCCTTTTTGTCTGTTTTAATTTTTGGGTTAACCTTTTTAATTTACATTATAGTCAGTGGTATACTTCACTAAATAAAGTGTTCAACCAATAAAAACTAAAAAGACATAGTTCAGGGCCCGGTGCAGTGGCGCAAGTGGTTAAGTCCTCGCCTTGCACGCCCGGGATCCCATATGGGTGCCGGTTCTAATCCCGGCAGCCCCGCTTCCCTTCCAGCTCCCTGCCTGTGGCCTGGGAAAGCAGTCGAGGACGGCCCAAATTCTTGGGACCCTGCACCCGCGTGGGAGACCCGGAAGAGGCTCCTGGCTTCAGATCGGCATAGCATCGGCCGTTGCACTCACTTGGGGAGTGAGTCATCGGACAGAAGATCTTCCTCTCTGTCTCTCCTCTCTGTATATCCGCCTTTCCAATAACAAAATAATAAAAATAAATCTTTAAAAAAAAAAAAAGACATAGTTCAGCAAGAATATAGATTTCTGTTTCACTCACATAGTAAATTTTTAGAATAATCAGTCATTAAAACTATAGTGTATGTCTATTGATATGTATGTTAACCATCACAGATAATGGAACATATTTTTCTTTTTGCATCTTATTAGCATAATCTCCAGTCAAATCTGTTTTGTTACAAATGTCAGGATTGTAGTTTTTTGACAGCTGAGTAATAAAATTCCATCATGTGCATACCACATTTTTCTGATCCCAGCAACAGTTAATGAACATTTACATAGGTTTTGTATCTTAGCTATTGTGAATTGAGCTGCTATAAAGACAGGATATGCTGCTTTCATGTCCTTAGCATATATTCCTAAGGGTGAGACAGCTGGGTTATGTGGTGAGTCTATTTAAAGTTTTTTGAAGAATCTCCATACTATCACCCATGGTGATTGTACTTGTTTACATTTCCCGAAACGGCATGTCAGGTTACCTATTCTCCACATTCTTGTGTTTGCTATTTTTTTATTTTTGGATTGTAGCAATTCTCAGGTGAGGTGTTTTTTTATTTGCATTGCCCTAATAATCAGTGATCCTAAGCATCTTTTCATGTGTTTGTTGGTCATTTATATTTCCTCCTTTGAAAAATGGCTGCCTGTATTCTTTGCCCTTTTTTTAACTGAGTTGTTTGAGTTTTAGAATCTTAAGTGAAATTTAACATTGAAGAGATTTCACATTTTTAGTTTGTTAGAGATCAGATAATTTGGAACGTTTTATAAGGATGATGCATGTGTTCAGTGCATTAGGAAAGACCTACATATTCATTTAATAAATGAGGGGGTGACCAGAGCAGGTGATATATGGTGAGTAATTGTTGTCACTGTGTTGTGGTTCCTTTAGGTACCTTTCAGAAATGCAGATTGTTAGACTTTACCCTCAGAGGAAATCAGACTTCTTTTGCATTTTACTTGATGATTTTTATGTCTTGTAAAGTTTGAAAGACACTGATCCAGATACCCCTGTGCAGGAAGGCTGAAGGATATAGCAGCTCTATCAGACAGTTAACTTAGAATTGAGTTTGTAGCCAAGTAAAACTCTCAGATCCTTCTTTTGAATTCTTAGGGTTGGCACTCATCATTTACTTTGTTGGTTTTTATGACCTTAAATCTGAGATTTTCATATTAACTCTTGTTTAGTGAAGTGCAGTGTTATTTTGTTGTTGTTAATGTTTGTCAAAGCAGCTAAGACACTGGTCAAGACATCTGCAGTACCTGAGTTCTCAATCCCTAGTTTGCTTCTGACTTTACCTTCCCACCTACGGAACAGCTCCATGGGTCTCTGCCACCCATGTGGAAGACCTAGATTTACTGAGTTCCTGACTGTTAAGAATATTTAGGGAATGAACCCCTGGGTGGGAACTCTATCAGCCCCTTCCCTCGCTTCTAAAAAACAAAACAAAGCCTCAAAGCTAATATCTCTGCCAGTCAAGAACTAGAATAGTTTCTTTATTAGCAAGGGGGATATATTCAGAGACTTCTAGTGGATTTCTGAAAAGGCAAATTATGCCATGGCTTATATAAAAATACTGTGTATTTTTCCTGTATATACATATCTGTGATAAAGTTTAATTTATAATCTAGGTACAATTAGAAATTAAAACTCAAAATAATAGTATAGGCCAATTTTAACCATATACTGTAATAAAAGGAGAATATGGTCTTTCTTTGTCAGAATATTCACCCTTCTTATGATGATGTTAGATGACACAGTGCCTGTGTGGTGAAACAAAGTGACATGAATGACATAAGCATTGAGATGTAGCATTAAGCTGTTGTTGACCTTCTAATTGAATGTAGTAAGATAATTAAGCCATGATGTAGATAATTGGAGGATGTTTTGCTGAAAGCTTTTACAAGAACATAATTGAAAATTGTTGTCTGTTTAATTCATCGAAGCATTATGTAGAGGTTTTGATCCTTGAGTGATCATGAGGGATTTTAATGCTGTATTTCATGCAAGGACTGTTTTCCATCATTTTGACCTTTATTGCCTAAGTTTGAAACACTTAGGCGAATCTCATCAATATCCCTGGTGCTGATTCTGTTCTGTTTCCCTCTCCTCCTTCTCTGCAGGTGACTGAACAAGATTTTCCAGTTCTTCATTTGTTAATACTTACGGTCTTCAAGGCATTCTTGTATTTTTTCCTCAGGTTGTTGGCAAATTCTTTTCCTGAGCAGTCTTTGAAATCATTCATGACTTCTTCCTTATTCCAGTAGGCATTTACACTTTCTGGTTTAAATTCATCCATTGCAACTTTGATGAATGTACCTTGTCAGCAATAGTGAATGATTTCCGGCACTGTATTATGTTTAGGTTAGAGTCAGCATCAGTTACTGATTGAAGGTGATCCAATATCTAGTGGGTGAATGGGTCTTGACAAACCAAATGATGTCCTGGTCAAATGGTTGATGCAATGAGGTTGTTTTTGGAGGTAAAAGTACAATCTTGGCACTTTCATTTTCATAGCAAATGAATTCAGGATTGCCAGGTGTGTTACCTATTATGAGACTACTTCAAAAAGTTAGTAAAAATAAATTGAAAGTTCATTTTGATGTAAAAAATCTGAAATCCATTTATAGTTTTACTATAAAACACATTTTTCATGAACTTTTGAAGATCCCCCCATATGATTTCACAATTTTTGCACTAAAATATTTACTTTTCAATTCCATTTCCCTGTGAACTTTTTGAAGTACCCTCCTAGCAAGAAGATTTTAAGTCTCAACCCATTCTACAAACCTTTCAGACGAAGCCAGGCTAAAGGGAGGAGCCAAGGGGGTTTCCCGTGTGAGTGACAGGGACACAAGCTTTTGAACCTTGTCTGCCTCCAAAGGTACAGAGTAATAACAGGAAGCTGGCATCAGAACTGAGCAGTGCAGGTGTCCTTAGCCCTGTCTTAACCACTGCAGCAAATGCCCACCCAACTTGCTTTTCTGTGTGTCAGTTTCCTGTTTGTCCCTCTCATTCCCCTCCAATGTACTTCAAAGTTTATATGAGTTCTATTCTGTGAGAAATAGCACAGAATTTACTTCTGAAAGTGATGTGTAATTTTGTACTTTGTGGAGTTTGTGCTTTTTTTTTTTTTTGTTTGCTGTTTCTCATAGGCATTCTAGGTAAGTTTTCTGTACCAGAAAAATGTAATTGTGTCAAGTTTTTTGATAGACTGTTACAGCTATGCTGTGATTATCTGTGCTTGTTAGCAAGTAGCATAATTGAGGCTATTTGCCTACTCCCAGGGAATGGCCGTCTCAGCCTGGGAGCTCTGTAATCTTTATGGAACTCTTGAGCCTGTAGTACCCTGACAACCACACAGTTCAGTCATCATTTAGATAAAGACAGGAGAGCAGTTACACCCATGGGCAATTAACTTTTTTATTAATAAGCTGTTAGACAATTAAAGGGAACTTAGAAAGTCTCTCGAGTGTGGTATTGTACTAACTACTGGTAAATAACCTCACTGGTGTGCTGGCTTGTTTTTTGTTATCAGGGTGCCCATTCCGTCACAGTGATCCGGAGCTTCTGAAACAGAAGTTACAGTCATACAAGATCTCTCCCGGAAGGATAAGCCAGGTAGGTCACCTTCTGCTCTGCATCCTCAGGAATGAGGCATCAGACAGATCCTTTCCATTCTGTGTAATGCTTCGCAGTGGTGCTGCTTGCTACCCGTCCGGCCTCTCACCACACATCCTGTTTTCTGGATGAATTTGGCTGAACCCTTGACTTTGCTTTAGACTCTTAGAATTCTAGTGCTTCTCTCTGCTAGGCTGGGTTTTTATTTTTCTTGGTAAAAAAGGTAGCTGGATATCTTTTTTCCTCTCTTTATTTTGCTATCTAAATTGAGAAATATCATTTAAAAAATAAATTTTTAGAGCAATGTATTGAAACTTGTTAATGAAGCTGGAAATTAATGACAGCATATTTCATACTGGAAAATTATAGACAATATTGTGGTATATACTAGTTTGGTATATACTACTGAGAAAGTCACCCATATAATCATCTTATATTCACTCACCTCAAAAAATGTGCTAAAGAGGTTGTCGGAATGGTTTCAGCTTAAATATCATGGGAGTTTGAATTTGTGGATTTGAAGAGACCTGAAACTGTTGTTGGAGGAGAGGAAAATTTTCTCATGTTGATTTTGCATGAGTTTGAGTTGCCTAAATCAACGAATGAATTTGTTTCTTTCTGTCTTATAGTAATTCAGTTAAGTAGACTTTTTAGGTGCTTTAAAGTATTTAAGGAATAAATGGTCTATACCTACAATGTCAGGATACACTTAAATGTGGAATGATGGACTTATGACTGTTTTTGAAGGTCTATTCTATTGTAATAATATAGAGGGAACTAGTGGGGGGAGGAGAAATCCCAGCGTCTATGGAACTGTATCACAAAATTAAAAAAACAAACAAGCAAAAACCAGAAGAATAAATGGTATGTGGAGGGAGGCAAATAGGAACTAAGGGACACAAATGAAAAGGTAACTTACTGTACAGTGGAGGGTATATACTTGGACAAAAGCATGGTGTCAAAGGTATGCTCCCTTGTCCAGTCCAGTTTGAAAAATAAAGTTAGAGTGTTTCAGCAAGCCGTACTCTTTCCCGCCTAAGGTCTCAACATCAACTGATAGTAAAGATTAGGGATGGTATTCTGGACATATTTGTAGTTGCTGATAACAAATTTGGAAGAGAATAAGAGACATATTCCTACCTTTTATAAAGATTCATTTTATTTAAAAATACAGATTAACATTATTATTAACATAATTAATGTTTATGTCTTCTGCCTTTGATTCCATTGTATTCTTCCGCCTACCCTCAGCCCATAAATACATATTTTACTTAGCTGAAGCCAACTATAGTTACCACATCCTGCTGGAGCTACATTGTAACCTTTTGTCTGAGAAAAACACAAATGTTTAGAATATGACAGCAAACTGTAAATAATATTGTGTTTTTATTTATTTGATACCTTTATTGAATGGGTCTAAGTAAAAGGAAGCAGCTGGTGGACTGTATTAAAGGGCAGAGTTGAGGAATGAAAATAGCATGCAAAACGTTTGATGCCTACTTCCATTAATATTTCTCAGTTTTGTGACTTCCCTGACGATTGCAATTAACCATTTAAAGTTATAACAAGTTAGCATCTATAGTATAAAAGAAATAGAATTTGTACGTTGTTTCCATATTGTTTTTTAAAGATTTGCTTGAAAGGCTGAATTATGAAAATGGAAAGACAGAGCTCTTTCATTTGCTAGTTCACTCTTCAGATGGCCAAAGTGTTCAGAGCTGGGCCAAGCCAAAGCCAGGAGCTTCTTCCAGGTGTCTCGTGGCAGGCATTGGGGCCCAAGCACTTGGACCATCCTTTATCGCTATCCCAGGCCGTCAGCAGTGAACTGGATTAAAAGTGGAGCAGCCAGAACATGAACTGGCACTCTGCAGGATGCTGATAGTGTGGGCAGTACCTTATCCTGCTGTGCCTCAATGCTGCTTCCCTCTCCCATTGTTTCCCTAGGAACATCAACTCATAATAATATTAGGAATTTCTCTTGTAAATCGTACTGGAACAAAAAGAGGAGCTAGGAGTCCAAAATCTTTCATACTTATGTAGTTACATGTGGCAATTTTGGTTTTGGATGGTTTTATTTACTCACTACTAATCTTTAATTTCTGTCTGAAGGGTTCATCTACTCTGATTGTTGGGAAGACTCTCTGGTAACAGGCCTTTTGTTTATCTTGAAAAGATATGTTGAATATCTTCTGTTTATCTTTGAATATCCTAATTTCCCTTTCATTTTTAGAGGAGAATTTTGTCAGATACAGGAATATTGGTTGACAGCAAAGTATGTTATCTTGCTGCTTTCTGGCCATTGTGGTTTATGCTACAAAAATGGGTGCTAATCTTATTGAATCGTGTATAGTACAAGTTGTTATTCTCTTGCTGCTTCTAAGATTTTTGTTTGTTTCTCTATGCTTTATATATATAATGTGTTTCAGTGATGACCTTTTGTGTTTATTTTTCTTGGAACCTCTCTGTTTTCAAATATTTCTGACCTAGCCTTTCTGTCTGTCTGTCTTATGTGAATGTGGGTATGCTGAAACGTGTTTTGCAATTATCTTTTCATTCTTTCTTTTCTGTCCAGGTTGAATAATCTCAGTTGACCTGTCATCAAGTTCATTGATTAGTTTTCCTCCTTGCTAAAATCAGTTATGCAACTTCTGACATCTGTTTGGTTCTTTTTGATGATCGGATTTTCCTTATTGCCATTTTCCACTTATGACATTTCTCTTAGCTTCCTTTAGATTTTTTTTTCTGTGGTGGTTTCCTTTCACTCTTTGGATGTCTTTAAGACAGATCATTTAAAGTCTTTGTTTATTAAGTACATGTCTATGCTTCCTCCAGGACAGCTCATATTAATTTCTCCTGTAAATGAGCAATACTTTTTTCTTTGCATGCTTTCTAGTCTCTTCTAGGAAACTAAACTGAATAAATCGAGTAAATAAATTTTCAACTTTAATAGTCTTTTTGTATGACCTGTCTGTACTGTCCTGGCCACATGTCACTGAAATGTGGCAGGTGCAAATTGAGATGTACTGAAGGCAATAGTGTATTGGCAAACCAGCTGTCTGGAAGTGAAATCAGTGATGTATGTGATTTGTTAATTTCTGTGTTATAAATATTCCTTTTATGGCTGTTCTCAAGCCATCAATGTTTGATGTGGCTGAACTCTGTTAAGAATGGAGTTTGGAATAGGTGTACTTAGCCCTCACAAGCCAGTTTGAGTGGCTCTAATATCCTCATATAAAATATAAACTAAGATTCCAAGCATTAGGTTGAAAACATTAAAATATCTCAGTATTCATATTTTTAATAATATGTTTATCTAAATAAAATATAAATGTATTGTAAAGGAGATATAGAGCAGAGTGGCAGCCAGGAAGACCCTTTACTGATGGTCTCACCACAGAGACACCAATTTGATAGTTATTCATGCAGTATTCTACCTTTCCAAGAGCTACAGAAGCCTGATGAGAGACCAGGGTCTAGTTTTAATATAATAAGAAAAACAAAAAGTTACCTGTCAATGCCAGTGTTGTGATGTAGTTGGTAAGGCCACCACCCGTGAAATGGATGTTTGTTATCTCAGCTGCTCCATTTTGCATCCAGCTTCCTGCTAATGGTTTGGGAAAAGCAGTGGAAGATCATCCACCTATTTGAACCCCTGCTACCAATGTGTGAGATAGGGGCTCATGGCCCCTGGCCTCTGTGTGGTCCAGCACTGGTAGCCGACTGGGGAGTAAACTAATTGACGGATCATCTCTCCGTCTTTCTCATCCCGCATGCTAGCTCTCTTTCACGCATTCTTTAAAATAAATGAATAAATATTAAAATAAAATTTTGCCTAGGTCCCTTCTCGCAGACTCCAAGCACAGTATGGTGAAACCTCCCATTTGTGATACAGAGAAGAAATTAAATCCAGGCGTTAGTATCAGGCCAAGTACTTGGCAGAGACCTGTGGACCATGCCTCTGTGCTGTGCCCACAGACTGAAACAACCTTAGTCAGGGGGGCCAAGGGACTGTGTTTAGTGCCCCTTCCACAGATTTGTGCTGCACAACAAATGCATGACAATTACTAGACATATTATGCATCAATTCTCATTAATGTGATATTAATACAAAGAGAATAATTAGTGGATAGAATTTTAAGAATGCATTGCCTCCCACCAAACTGCCCCCCCTTTTCTTCTTTTTGAGATAACATGTTTCAATTTTGTGCTAGGTTAAATGCTCCACTCAATAGGAGTTCAGTATGTAGAAAATAAAAAGATTATACTTCGTACATAATTTCATAGATGAACAATATAATTGAGACTAGCATACCTGGAAAAGAAGATATGTTACAATATGCATCTACTCTCAAATTAAAGGAGGACTTCCAATGAAACTACTAAATATACCTTTTCAATAGGATTCTAGACTATGTACCATGGTCTATACTTACATGCCATTATACACTAAATATCAGGATGTTGGACTAGTGACTGTGCTGAAGGACTATACTGTTGTAACAATATGGGGGGAGAATCAGGGGTAGAAAGGAAACTTCTTGTGCCTATGGAACCACATCATGAAAAATAAGAAGTCATAGTTCATCAAAAATATAGGCAAGGACTATATATAAAAATCAAATGAAAAAATGTCTATTGCACTCACATACCTAGAACTTTAAAGTAATCAGATAATTAAAATTATAATAGTATATTTGTAACTGTTGATTTGACAAGGACATAAACCACGTTTGAGAAACTATTTACATTTCTTTGTTTTGATCTTCTAAAAAAAAGGCTGCCACATAATTATCTTTCTGTTCCAGTTTATTTCATTGAATCTGATGTCTTTCAGCTGTATCCATTTTAATGCAAATTTCATTCTTTTTAATAACTGAATACTAATCCATTGTGTGCTTGTGTACATTTTCTTAAGCCATTCATCTGATGGTGAACACCTTCACTGATTGTAATATTTGGCTTATTGTGAGTAGTACTAGTATAAACATGGTGCAGGTATC